TCTTAGAAAAGCACCCTCCCCCTCAAAAGGAAGGTTATGTGGTAAATTAACTTCCTCCCTGCATCATTGTCAACCCTGAAGTACCGAGACAAACGCAATACACCAAGTTAAGTGCAATCACTTTGTTTCAGAGTCTGACACCCACTCCTTACATGTACTTCATGGTATTAGAACCTGCCTTAAATAATAGCCCAGTTCAACCCAAAGGCCTTTCTGCTTCTCTGTGTTTGGTCATAAAAGGGCTACCATAAAGTGACTGGGAGGAGGCAGATCCTTCTCCACTGAGGTTAAACCCCCGCCAAGAAAACCAAACAGCTACCAAAAGCATTACAAAATAGAATTTTACTCCCTAAATTTAAACTGCTACATTTGAAAAATGTACAGTGCTTCTACTGGGAAATGCTGACTTGTGTTGAAGCAATTTGTTTGTGTTCAGTAGATCTAGGATAAGCAGATATTTACACTGTCCATTTTTCCATCCACTTGAATTAAATTTCAATGGATATAAAACTTGTAAATAGGATCATCAGTGGATAAAGAGCTTAACTGAGCAAATTTTCTATATTCCCCCAAATCCAAGACAACATTGAATTTAAGGCAACCCCCCAATAATTAGATTCTATCCATTGAAAATCATAAATTCGTTATAATTTTCCATGGCTGGAATCTAATTATTGAAATGTCACCTTGAATTCATCTCCCCTCCCACCACTATGGCAGGGAAAGCAGCAGCAGAGGGAGGGAGGTAGCCAGACCCCTTCCTCTTCCTCCCCTACTCCTGTCTGTCCGTGCCATTTGCCCTTATCACCTATCCCCCTGCTGCTGCCCCCCTGCCACTCACCCCAACCTTGTGCCTATCCTCACAGCCATTCACCTGTCCTACCTGCTACTTACCCCCTGCCAGTGCCTGCCCCCTCAGTTGCTTGTCTCCCTGCCGGTGTCTGCCCCCTGTTGCATGAGTAGTGTTCCGCATTCTCTGGTTTTTATTTAAAAATAAAATCTGGGAATTTTGGGGGGTTTATCTTCGAAACATAAAAACTGGGATGAAGCCAGGATAAAGGAAGAAAAGGGGGGGAAAAAAAATCAGTGTAAATCAGGGGAAAAAATTGGCAGTGAGGGAGGGAGAGAGTAAGAGTGGGACTAGGGAAGGAGTGGGGGGAGGGGTGCAGTGCAGCCCGTTGGCCGCTCCTGGGGCTGCAGCAGGGAGCAAAGCAGGGGGAGCTATCAGTGGATACGTGGCGGGGAGGTCACGGCTCTAGCTGCTACGTATCCCCCAGGCATCGGGCTCTTTTTGGGGGGCCTGTGTCCCTGGATCTGAGTGTGGGATGAGAGCAGGCTCCTGCTGCAGCCCATCCTATCCAGGGTCAAAGCTGGGAGCCCTGTGCCCCCAGCTGCCCCCTCCTCCAGCCCCCATGCGGTCACTGCCACCCCCGCCATACAGCTGCTGCCACCCCCACCCCCACACTCTGCATCCAGCCAGAAACCTGTGCCTCAAGTAACTGGCACAGCGACACTTTTAGCTTACTGGTACCACCCGTTTTTCAGTTCAGATCCCCATTAACTGGCACAAGTTGGGAATGGGCTATATCAGGGAATTTATCAGTTAAAAAAAAAAATGGTAAAAAATGAAAATGAAAAACACTATGCATGACTCTCTGATGCCCTCCCCACCCCACCCTCCCCCTGCCATTTGCATCCATGCCACCTGCCTCCTCCCACTGCTTCTTACCCTGTGCAATCCCTCTGGCTCTGACCCTAACCAGAGGCACAGAGCACAGGGTGGCCCCAACCAAAAGAGACACTCTCTCCCCTATAATCTCCCCAGTCTTCCCTATATTTGGGCCCCCCCCCCCTCTACCATGAGGTCTCCCCGGTGTTCCCCCTGCTGCATGAACCATCCTGGCCATGGCCTGGAGCAGATGGCTAAGGCTTGAGCCACAGCCACTGCCTACCCCGGGCCAGTACTCATATCCAAGATGAGAGCTCCCCCACAACTCCATGTTAAACAAGGGGACTCATTGTGGATTTAAATAAATACAGTAAATGCATTTGTCTGAAAAAACACCAGGCAACAGCAGTGAGGCCTATTTATATAGGATCACTATGTGAAATGCATGTTAAATAAAGCCAAGTACAAGGTCATGCATCTAGGAAATAGAGAATGTAGACCATACCTACAAAATAAGGGACTGTATCCTTGAAAGCAGTGACTCTAAAAGGAACTGAGTGTAAAATTACACTGTGTAGTTTTGCTAAGTGGTTAGACAATGGATTTGTGAAGGATGTTTTGGATAGGGATGATCCTGCCTGAGAAAGAGATAAGGCCAGATTAACCTTTTAGTAGGCCCTAGGCAACGAAGTTTGTGGGCCCCAGGACAGTTGACAACCCCCCGCCCACCCCACCCTGGCGCTTCCACCCATGGGGAGTGGGGCTGGAGCCACTGCTAGGAAGCAGCTGCCACAGGGAAGGGGAAGGGAGGCAAGCCCATCACAGGGAAGGGTAAGGGAGGCAGACAGGGCCATTCACGCCACCACTACAGAAGGAAAGATCAGGGCCCCCGCAGTTAAGACCCCTAGGCATGTGCCTAGTTTACCTACATGTTAATCTGGCCCTGGGTAGGGGACTGGACTAGATAACATCTGAAGGTCGCTTCTAGCCCTACTTCTCTATAATTCTATGAATTAGAGATTACAGTGAATAAGTAACCAAACCTGAGCACTAGTGTTGTGACAGAGGGAGAAATATGATCTTTGAATGCATAAACAGAAGTCATGATGTGAATTTAACATGAACAAAACATGGATGAGAAATATAAAAATATTACAACAATTCTAGTATCCATAAGCTAAAATGAATATTGAAAAAAAGAGGTTGTAGAAAAGAGCCTCAAAATGATTTGAGTGCTAAAGAAAATGTGCTGGAGAAAGAGAGAGTTCAGTTTGTTTAGATTTACCAAAAATAAATTGAAAGATGATTTGATTACAGTGTACAAGTACCTTAAACAAGGAGAATAAAAAGGGTACTTAAGGTCTATTTAATCAATCAGAAAAAGGAACACGAACCAAAAGGGTAGAAGTTAAAGCCAGACAAATTCATTTGTACTAAGAAACATGTACTGTTTTACCATTGAAACAAACTACTAGGGGGAAGTGGTGAATTTTATACCTCAGTGTCTTCAAATCAAGACTAGATTAACCTGCTTTAAAAATCAGGCAACTTTTGGGTAACAGGAGGAAATTCTATGGCTTATATTAAACTAGATCATTTAATTGTTCATTTTGGCCCTTATACCTATGTACTAAAATGAATGCAAAGGAACAATATGCAGCACCTTCTATAAATGAAAATGACCGACCAAAACACAGCAATCTTTTTTATCTTTCTTCAGAGAAGATAAGTAAAGTATCACATATGAACTGCTTATCTATGCATTTTTAATGTACCAATCACTGTAATATATAGACACTATGCGATTAAAACAAATGATTATTCTATCTTTTAATCAGCTTTGTGACTGCTGCACTTTAGGAAAAATATTCCAATAAAGGACACTTTATACAGAGGATATTTGATTTATTTAAGCAGGGTAGCTTGCATAACAGTAATCACTATTGAAAAAACATACTGGAATACATAGATGAGCTCAGGGGTTAGGAAAAGATATAATTAGTTGAAGAATCACAGGAAGAAAAAAGCTTGGTCACAATAAGCAAGAGAGGTATGGTTTTGAAGGCAAAATTTCAGAGGGGAAGAAGAAATCATAACCAGGATGGAAGTTGAGATACACCTGTAACTGAAAACTTACAGGGAGGATAGCCCCCGCAAAAAAACTCTCTAGGGTGACGTAACGAAATTCAGGTAGGATAGCTGTACCATAACAGAGACACAGTATGGCATTAAGTCATGACTTCTGAAAGGCAAAAAAATAGAAAGTAGATCATCATTTATCATTCCTAGAGCAAGAGTTAGGCCATGGAGTGAGCGTGCCAAAAGTAGAGATTGCGAAGGAGAGAGACAGTCAAGATAGGAGCCAAAAGGAAGCATGCTCAGTTACTACAGGGAGAAGAGCCTCACTGCAAACAGGATTTCTATGTGATAGGTCAAGTTACAAAATCCAGAATAGATAACACTAGGACAAGGCAAACGTGGGTTTAGGATAACTCCCATTAATTTGTTTCTTCAGTCCAAATAAGATAGATAAAAAAGGCTGAAAACCCCAGGTCTAAGTACCCCTGGTGACTGGACACCGAACAGGGGAGAGGCGGGACGGGAGAGTGGCATGCAGCCAGATGCTTAGCAGGGAGGCAGGGATGGTGGCATGCAGGTGAGGATGGAGCGCTGCCGCCTCCCAGGAGCAGGGCTGTGGCAGAATGGAGAAGCTCACCGGGCTGAGGTGAGGGCAGCAGAGCCTCTCTGCAGGGTAGAGAAGCTCACCGGGCTGGTGTGTGGCAGCAGCGGCTGCTGTGTGCAAGCTTCCTCATCCCATAAAGGAGAGCTGCTGCCCTTGCCCTGCCCCAGCCCTGCTCCTGGGAGGCAGCAGTGCTCCATCCCCGCGTACCCTTAGAACCGGTCCAAGTACCCCCAGGGGTACTCATACCCCCACTTGACAACCCCTGACAGAGACTGTGGGAAATTGGCTCCAAACAAAACTTTTCACCTAGAGGGAAATGTTCAGTCTTTGAAACATTCAGTGGTAGAAGTCTACAAAGGCAAAAAAGGCAAATATACACGCTAGAGGTCATGAGAAAACATACTATTTCTTGTCACTGGCTTGTAAGCAATACATAACTTACAAGAAGTGTAATTTTGGATATATAACAACATCTTTATGTATCAGAATGGCTCATATTTAACAGTAGAGCTTTCCCAACATTTCAGTAGCACAGTCTTATGCTTTAATGAGAAGGAAAAAAGAATAAATGGAAAGGAGAAATGTTAAAGAACAGATCAGAACCAGAATTAAGAAACACTTTCAATGTTTATGGTTGTCATTTGTTACCTGGATTTCTAGTTCAGCAATATGTTGCTGGAGTTCGGCCACTGCAGCAATGCGGTCTGCTTCACGGAGCCTTACTGCCATCACTTCTTCCTTACTCTGAGAAGAAAGAACAGGGTTAAGCTGCCAAAGCAAAAGTTATGACTCTCTGATTTCAGTTGATTCAAAACTGAATATTTGTCTGGGTAAAAAGCAAGACAAAAGCTAACCTACATAATAAAATATACATGACTGATATAACCAAAGAATGCTAGTGGATCTGGTTTTAATTTGAACTAATTGTATTGTATGAACATCTCTTAATGCTCAATTTTAGGGCTGTGCAAAGCTTTGGAGGAGATTTGGCCCGATTCGGGGACCGAATCTCAGAATCCGAATCGAACTGGGAGACTAATTAAAAGCTTTGAATCAATTCGAAGCATCCGAATCTATTCGGGAAAAGATTTGTAAAAGATTCGGCAATTCAACCATAGACTAAACAGGCAGCTAAAACAGCTGCCTCCAGCTGGTAAGTCTGTTGGGGGTGGAGAAGGGGGGAGGGAAGGGGCATGGGGGAGGGAGGAATGGGGGCTGGGACAAGCTGCCTAGTCAGGGCAGGGGGCCATGGGATGTGGCCATGGCAGTGCTCGGAGCAGTGGCTCTACCTTGCTGCCACCTGCCCAGCTGGGGCAGGGGGGGGGGGACAGGATGCAGGTGCGGCATGCTTCAGGCGGAAGGGGGCAAGCGGCAGTAGGACATAGGCCCCACTCCCAGCACTGCCATGCCCACATCCCGTACCCTTCCACGCTGGCTGGCAAGCGGTGACAGCACCTGCTCTTCCAAGCTGGCTGGCAAGTGACAGCAGTGCAGAGTCCCTGCTCCCAGTGCTCATGAACACCACGTGCCCCTGGAGGCTGGGGGGCCATGGCAACTGCCCGCAGGCAGCAGTGGAAACATGACGGCAGCGAGTGGGGAGCTCCCGCAGGCAGCCACAGCTGCGTTGGCTGCTGGGCAGGGGTGGTAAGCACCGACCAGCAGTCAGCGACCACCCGCAGATGCCGCCAGCAGCAAATCGAGGGCTGCTCACAGACGCCACTGGCGAGGGGAGGAGGGGTGGCAAGTGCCAACCGGTGGTCGGTGACCACCTGCAGACACTGTCAGCAGCAGGGGGGGGCAAACGGCAACTGCCCATAGGCACCACCGGCAGTGTTGGTGGCGCTTTTTGCAGGGGGTGCACCACCAAGCTAAAGTGCACCCCTACACGTTGCCAATTCCAGTGCTGATGTGGGCACGGCAGCACTGGGAGCAGGAGCTCTGTCCTGATGCCACTTGCCCCCTTCCGCCTGAAGTGAGTCACTCCTGCGTAGTGCCCCCTTCCACCCCGCACCAACTGGGCAAGTGGCAGCAGGACAGAGCTCCTGCTCTGAGCACTGCTGCGCACATATCCCGTGCCCCCCCTGCCCAAGTAACATACCCCCCGCCCTGGCTGGGCAGCTTGTCCCAGCCCCAACCCCTCCCCCTCCTAACCCCAACAGACTTACCAGCTGGAGGCAGCTGTGTCAGCTGCCTGTTTAGTCTATGGCCGAATCTCTGAAGTGGCGCCAAACCTTTCAGATCTGACTTGGCCAAATTGAATTGGGAAAGTGATTCAAATCTCTGAATCAAATCACTGTCCTCTGAATCGGATGAATCCAAAGTGAATACTTGATGCTTCACACAGGCCTACTCAATTTTATTAATTTGGGTTAGCAACTATACCACACTGTAAAATATGCAAGATGTGCGACTGGTTTATTTGCTAAGAAAATCTGCAAGTAGCTCATAGTCAACCAGCTACAATGTGATAGGGCTAATTAATGCATGTTATCTAATTCCTGCCAGAATTGTAGTTAAGCAAAAATTTAAGTTGGATTTGGGTAACACATTCCATATTTCATCCGAGTTTTTAGATTTGAGTATCAACCTCTCACAAAAGAAATGAGGAATGTTTGGTTCTCTAACACTGTATTGTATCATTGGCTTAGTTATGTCTAAAATGCCAGATACTGCACAAACACCTAAACACCTCCTTTCTGTAGAATCATACATGTTTCTGTGGTACAGACATATTTCCAATACAAACTAGGCCTAGACTTGCTTTCTTTGAGATGACTAAAAATAAGCCAGAGATGTATGATTGATAACTATGATTAATATAGACAAGCTATGGTATTTTAAGCCCACAATATCATTCTAAAAGCATATTTCAAATACATAATTAATATATTTGTGCAAACTATTCACAAACACTCTAACAGATTTAGCAACTATTGCATTAAAACATGTTCTTACCATCTTATTTTCTGCATGCACACACACACAAATACATTTTTTTAATTTTACTTCTCTGAAGTATAAGTGGTATAGTTAACTATAGAGGTTAAATATTAAGTGCATTAATAGCTTTCCAAAGCTTTTCATAATTTATGAAAACTAAATTGATCTAGTTTTATGAAAACTTAACTTCTCTTCTCTACCATTTCACATATCTTAAGATAGATATAATAATACCCTTGTCATGGTCTCTGTATACCCTGGGTGCATTTACACAAGACACTTTAATGTTCAGTGGACTGTTCTACTGCACATTAGCAGGTCACAGCAAAAATCATGCTGAAGCGCTAATAAGCAGTAGAATTAGTCTACTGTACATTAAGCGTCACAAAAAATTGCCTTTGCTACTGTGCATTAGTGCTGCTACTGTGTCTTTATCTAGTACCTTGTATTAGAGATACTAAACTTAATGTGCAGTCACAAAGGTGCATTAATGTACATGTAGACATGTCCTGTGAACAGGAAAAATATTAGTTGTATGGAGTCCATTTACGAAATGACATTAAAAACAT